CAGATTAAAATAACATTTGAAAAAAAAAAAAAAGAGTTTTTAAGTTTTCTTATGATTTCAGACTTTAGTGTTTGGTTTGATAGAAAATGAGGAGCCATGGACTAGTTGGGCAGTTAGATTTTCGTTGAGATGGGTTTGGTTTTAAAATGTTTAAATATATATATATTTTTTTTAATTTTCCTAGTGAAAAACATAGGGTACAAAATCAAGCACTTAATTTAGGGTAGAAGTTATATGTATGTGGAACTGTTTGTTTATTTCTAATACTTATTTCCTGTTATGAGAGTTTCGTTTAGAAATTAATCTTGTTCTATCATTTGCAAATATTTCTTGAATAAAAAACAAAAAACAAAAATTTTATCAAACACGATAATATGAAACATTAGCTTGAATTGAACCGATTAGTAGAAATTAGCACGCAAAAATCTTATTAATTAGCTCAAATATTGCTTTTTAGCAAAATAATTGAATTGAAAACAGTACTCAGCTCCTATATTAAAGAAAATGACATCTTGCAGTTTTTATATTTGTGAAGTGAAGATATAGTAGTGCATGTAGACTGGCACAATATCAGTATAACAAATCAAAGCATATTAATTTTAGAGAGAATTATGGGGTTTGACTTAGTTGTCGTTTTAATTCCTAATTAAAAGAAAATAGCAATTAGCCATTTACTGCAAACTAATAGCATTACGTCTATCGGGAATTGGGATAGATGTATATCAGTTATCACAGTCAATGAGATGTATTTATATAAAATAATAATAATAAAATATTGTTCTTGTTTTATGTCGTTCTCTTCTTTCTGTTAGCAGCCAAAATTCAAAAGAAGGAAAATACGGATTGGGAATTTGGGATCATAAACAGTTTTCAATATTTTCATCTAACAATTATTATAGTATAGGCAGCGATGCGATAATAATTTTTCTTTTGATTGGACGTTTGGTGGTGCGATCCATCATGCATGGAAGAGAAAAGGAGAAGAAGAAAATGGCTCTTGCACAAACGTCAACATATCACGTTGGAACAACGGAAGAATTCCAAGTTATTTTAACTCACTTTTGAATTGAGTTTATTTTCATTTTGTTTAAAAAAAAAAAAAGATGAGAAAGATGGACTGACGAGTCATTAATACAATTACACAAATTAGGAGAGAGAGGAAGGGTAAGAAGTTGGAAAAATGAGGCCATATTCTGATTCTTGGGCCACTTGGTTTGAAGTTTGAAAATGGAATCAGAACGAATTAATGATGGAAGATGTCAAACCTCAGTTGCCAAACCAGACCATACAGCAGCTTCAGTTGCAGAAGAAGCATTTGAAAAAACTGTCAATTAATTAATATTCTGGCTACGCTATGGCTCTGGCTATGGCGTAGGGCTAGGGGTTAATTACGATGATCGGATAGTTCAGATAAAGGATGGTAATTTGATGATCATGACGCTCGTATCGTCGATTGAGCCTCTCGATGTGGACAAGGCGGCGAGTTCTTTACACGCCGAGAATAGTTTCGGCTTCTCCGCCCCTACGCACAGCGGCTGCACTATATCTACCGCTTCCTGATTCGTAACCTGGAAAATTGAAGAAATTAATTTCAGTTTTTTTCATAATCTTAAAATTTGTGTAGATATTTTGTGTTGAGAGCTGTACGAGTAATGGCTTAGTTAATTAATTGGTTACCTTGTCCCAAAGACCATCAGAAGCAAGAATCAAGAAATCGCAATCATCCTCAATCTTCACCACTCTCGTTTCCGGCTCCGATATCACCCACTGTTTCAAATGTCCATCTCCGATCGCTCGCGACACTGCTAGTGTTCCTTGAACTCTCCACGCTCCACGGCAACAATCTACATAACCACCCTGTGAACGACATATATTCAAATTAAGAACAATATGATCTTCAAATCAATCGCCAAATTGATTCGATTATCGATGAACAGGTGCTGGCCTTACCGAATTTTCGATCCGATTTCTCTCGTCTTCTCTGGACGGGCGGTGATCGGACGTTAGGGCTTCTGCTTTTCCCCTTCTGCTCAACACGGCGCGACAATCGCCTACGTTGGAGACTGCGAGATTTCCGTTCCGGATCAATGCGGCGACGCAGCAGGCGCCGCCGCTGACGCCTTCCTCTGATACTTCTCGATCGGTCGTCGAATAGCCGTCCTTGATTGCTTCCTCGAGTTCCGATTCTGTTCTTCTCGCTACTTCATCGATCACGTTCTTGCTCATTCTTTTCGCGGCGATTTCTGCCACTTTTGCTCCGCCGTGCCCGTCGAAAACTCCGAAGAAAGCCTGTTACGGAAAAAAAAATGAACAATAAGAAACTACAGATCTACAGATATGATTTAATCTTACGAGTTGCGTTAATTCTGAAATCAAACGGAACGAAGCCGCGCGCAGATTGAGATCTAATATCCAAGTACCTGTCGAGAATCTCCACGAATTCCAACGCTGGCCGAGAATCGATCCTCCATAGCGCTGCGTCTCCTTCCTCTCTTGCAATAAACCGAATATCCCTCCCCTTCCTCCTCCATCGCCTCGACTTTCTCCGACTCAAATCCAAATCCAAAACTAACGGCCGCGGACGAAATCACCGGCACGGCAATCCTTGCCGGCCTCTTCCTCTTCAGAACCGTATCAACAGCCAACGGCAACACAGATGGCTGACACGGCGGCGGCGGAGACGACGGAGAAACATGAATCTTCCTCGGGCTCGACACCGATCTAGGAGAAGAAGAAGAACGAGAACAGTTGAGCGATGACTTATTGTATAGCAGTGAAACCATCTCTGGCGACGAAAACAATGGAGTCTTCGGCACTGCGACTTCGCACATATTGATTTGGATTTTTTCAATTTTGAAATTGGTTATTTGCTTATGCGTGCTGCCCTTTTTTCTCTGGTTTCTGTCTGTGAAGAAGATGAATGCAATAGAATGGAAGGGGAAGGGAAGGAGGTGGGCTATTTATATACGGGGATGGAGAGAGTCACGTCTTAGTCGTGTTTGGATTTCTTTAACTGCACTTTCTCGAAGAAGGGAATATTATACTTTTGGGTTGACTCCGCTACTAATAAAAGTCAATTTTTGGGTTTTTTTTTTCTTTTTTTTCTTTCCAATTTTTGAAATGGTTCGATCCTCTGCCACGTGGATTAATGGCTAAATTGAATCATTCGGCTTCACGCTCTTACCGGGTCCGTGCGGCCAACAACTCTCTCGATTCTTCTTATTATTCTTCTTCCTTCTTTTTTTATTTTCTTCTCTTTTTTTTCAATATATATATATTAATAATAATTTTATCTTGTTCTAGGGAGGTTTGACTCGCGATCTTTTCAAGGAACTTTTAAAATCATTCGAGAGGCATAAAATAAATAATATGATAGCTCAAATCCAATTCTAAATTAAATGTAATATAAAATATTTATGTTATATTTTAAAAGTTTTGAAAAGTTGTAACATTTTAAAAAACATAAAATTTCTACTTTTTTCGATTAGTATTCAAGTAATAAAAACTATTGTATAAAAAATATTTCCTTCCACTAAAATAACAAAATAAAATAATGTATTTATTGATTAGATAGTTGAATACTAATGATAAAGACAGGTTTCAAGTAGTACATACTTGAAAATTTGTCTATATAACATATTCATGTGACTTAACTAATAACACCAGGTTGAGCGTAGTACGAAATGTGACTTAATTGAAAAATAAATCACATAAAAATAAAAATGATTTTTTTAAAAGATTAAAGCACAAAACTGACAATTATCTGGAATATTAGGGACTTCACATGCTTATTTAAATTTTAAATGTACCGGTCAACGTAAAACAAGTTTTTATTCATCTATTTTATTTATTTACTAGTAAGAAACACGTGCGTTGCACGTAGAATCTTGTAGTTCTAAATTAAAGTAAAATAAATAGTGTTTTTTAAGTTTATAATATTATCATTTTAAAGAAAGAAAGTGATTATATATAAATATAAATTTAATGTATGATATTGTTGTAATAAAAGAAGATGATGAAAGATTAGCATGAAAAGTAAGTACAAATTTGAAGTGTAAAAAAGATGAAAAAACACCAACGTGCAAGTTTTTTTTTTTAATGAATGAACGTTCTTAATTTACCTCTAATTTTCTTGATTATAAATTATTATCTTACATTTTATTTTTGTTAAATTGTGTGACGTTAAATCATTGAGTTTGTTCATTCTAGAATGAAAAAGAAAGGTAAGAGTGAGAGAAAGAGTAAACCCTAAAAGGTCCAACCTGATGATATTGAGAGGGATAAAACTTGTTTGTTTACCCTAACCTTGTAAAGATAATTACAACATTTGACATATATAAATCAAAAGCATCAGTTTAAAAAATAAATAAATAAAAATCAAACTCATAAGCATTCTTATTATCTAAATTATGAGAATAATCGAATTTTACTTTATCTCGATTTCATCGACCACTATCTCGATACATCGTACTTTAGAATTTCTTTCAATCTGAACAATGATAAATTTGAGGAAGGTGAACCGATGTCATCAACTCAGCTTTAATTTGGTTTCTCTTCACTATCAATTCTCCTCTCGATCACCCATATGTGCATTGTTGTTGTCGTTGCTAAAGCAAGAGAGTAATTTTCATACATTCACACCACTTGGAAAATTTTCCACTTTGTTCCATCCACCACCTCTTGATTATTGGTTGACATGAGAAAGAGAGAACACATATTTATATATGGATTGGAAGGGGATTAGGAAGATGAAAGGATTGGGAGAGAGTATGTGATAATTGGAAGGGGATTAGGAAGATGAAAGGATTGGGGGAGGGTATGTGGTAGATGAAAGAAGTTAAAAACAAATCAATGAGAAAGATAAAGTTAATAAAAGAATAATTAAGAGAGATAATATTAGTAAGAGAAAATAGAGGGATGAGATCGTGATGGAAAAGAAGAGATAAATTGAGAGAGAAAAAGTTTGTATTTAAATGACACAATTGCCATCAAAAGAGAAGTGAAGAGAGTTATAATGAGAGTTCAAAAATGGTATATAGAAGTTTTTCCTCATTCCACCTTTTGTATATACTATAGATTATATTATATTATAATTTACAAATCCCATGCAATTGCACTGATGCAACACGCGCTGGTGCACGTGAGTGCTGCTGTAATTTCCCTCTTCTATGTATAGGATTAATTAAATTAAAATTCAATGGTCAAAAACACATCTTAAATTGCTGGCTCTTGGCTGTTTGACTGGGTCTTATATTCGTCCCCTCCTGCTCTGGACCTTTCCTTTTTGGTGGTTCGTGGCAAGTTTTGATTGCTCCACGTGTTGGTCAGAGATTTTTATAAAGATACGGCCTTTTCCAGTTTCCAGTGAGCCGCAATTTTTTATTATTATTGCGTGGTTTCGGACCGGCGCTGGTCGTCGCCGTCGGTGGGCGGTGGAATATGCCAATTGCCAAAATTCTCCTCTCTTCTCTTCTCTTCTCTTCTCACACTACTTTTATTATTTATTATTTATTATTTTATTTTATTTTTTTGCTGTGTAAAGTCAAAATATGGCTGCATCACCATAATCTCGTGGAGGAGTGGCAGTTGGTTGAATTTTTACTTTCTTTTTTCCTTGGCTTTCGGACTCTTTCAATATTTGCATGTGAGTTTTGAATCTTCTGTTATGCTGTTGACGTGACGTATTAGCTTGGTCAAAAAATAATTAATAAAAAAAGTGTTTAAATTTGTTTTTAAACAGTCTCATATTTATTTAAAGCCTAATTAATTAACAGTGTGGGAATGCAATTTTGAAGTGGTCTTGAAAGATTAAAAATATGTTTTTTTTAAACGAGGCAAAATTAAAGCACAATACATGACTCTTGCTGTTTCGATATATGTGTGTCGAAGTGAGGAATGACCTATGACTTCATAAGAAGAACTTAGTTCAATTTCGACATGGGAATGATTTCAATTGGCAAGAGATGTAACATTCAGTACAATATTATTTCGTTGTGTGATATTTGAATTGTCGACTGAAAAACAGTTGAATGATATATACAAATACTTCACTCTAATAGAAGGCAGGTTCCGCATTTTCAAAAGTATGTAATATATTTATTTAAACTAATCTTGGGCTTAATCATAACTTAAGTTTCAGAATGTACGGCGGTGAGCATCGCGACAATGTTAAATTATGTTTGCATGTACTAATGGGGCCGTACCAAATAGCTTGCTAACTTATGTGTACTAATATGTTAACTTTTAAGTATGTGTACTGATATATTAACTTTTATATGTATGTCTATTTTAATTATTGTGTAAAAATATACTACTAGTTTTTAATATTGAACATGGCAGGACTCGATTATTAATTAATGTATTAATAACTTGAACTAAATATTAAAATATTTGAATATTTAATCATATTTATAATGTGTATTTTAAAAATATTTGAATTTTAAATTAAACGCATTGTCGTTAAACATAAAATAGTACATCGACAACATTATAATTTGCAAAACATATTCAACTCAACCATATTAATTTTAGGTGAGGCAATATACTACGAAAGGATGCTTCAAAACGATTGATAAATTTCGTAGGAATTAACAATTATTATACAATTAATGTATTAGAGAGACTATAAAGTCGTGTTTCAAATAATAAGAGTGCGTTTGAGAGTGATTGTATAATCAATGATTTAAGAAAAAAAATATTTAAGTAAAATTTATTTTTCAAAATCATCATACCAATGATAATTTTTTAATTTGCCAAACATAGTTTACAAGACAATTATATTATGTTAGTCACATCCAATACTTTTTTTTTTCAAAAAACAGTGAGCAGACAATAAATTAGTAGACGTTGAAACAATATGATCAATAATTTTACACAATTGGGTGCACAACAAACAAATTAGGAATGCATGAATTAAGTTTCTAAAAAACTAGTTGGATCAACCAAAGTCGAGCAAACCAGTCAGTCGATCGATGAAGTCAAAAAGACAATAAAACTCGAACAATGTATTAATTTAAAAAAATGTTACATCATGCCACACAACTCTCGTTTGAGAATAAATACTTAAATATGTAAGCAATCATCACAAACTTTGATAGCTTCTTATTTTTTGAAAAATATGAAAACATATCCCTTTTCTCGTACTTGTTAGAATTTTAATGATGATCAATAATGCTGTTGAGTCAGCACCTAAAAACTAGCTACATACATCTTTTAAAAGAAGAAATTTAGTAAAGAAGAAACTTATACTAAATGAAATAAAATAAATATGTATTTATCATTACTTTTTTAATTCTCCTAATAAGAATCACGAAGCAGTTTTTGATTGGTGTCATCTCAATATAAATATGCAATATATGTCATTTTTTGTAAAATTTTAAACGTAATTCTGGATTTAAAAATACATACTTATTTTGTGATATATAATCTTGTAATTTCCTTAAAAAATATATATACACCTAGAAATCTCTCTCTCCTCCCTTCCACCATCATAAACCCACACACCGAGACCGACCAAAATTGAAGTGTAATAAATAACAATGTGAAAGAAAAATGACACAAATAAATAGGGAAGATAAATGGTGAATTGAAATAATGATTTGTTAATTAGTAAGAGAGAATGTACCTTTGAAAAAAAAAATGATTTTTTTTTGCTTAAAAAGATGTTGGCCTCTATATATATGTATGTATAAATGATGTATGAACACATTTTTCACATATAGGAAAATTTTCCCATAATTTTCAGTTCACATCATAAAATTAAAAGCTGAATATGCAAGATAATTATCTATATTCTGTTAGTCAAATTTCAATTTAATCTTTTGCAAATTATGAATTTTACATTGAGTGTATTAAAAATTTCAATTGTCACTGAAAAAAATTGTTAACGATAATTAAGTTGATAAATT